ACCGAATGAGAGTACAAGAAGTGATATGGAGGCCAAGGGATTCACTTTAACCTGCGGATATAGTCAAGTGTCCGATGATAACGAAATTTCCTTGTTAATAAGTTGAAATTTTATTGGAGTTTAACAAAAGGTTTTAAAAGGTTTTGTTATTGGTAGCTGCAAGCACTGAACCAGGATAATCCTTGCAAGTAAAATGTAGTGATTTGAGTAAGACTGCTGCTGTAAACTTAGTTTTGGGTGATTAAAGCACTGTGTCAGTTGAAATCAGGCGTTTCTGGGAGTTGCAAAATTTAAGTATTACAAACAAAGGAACGGAGTGTTTAAATTTAATGAAACAGGAAATACTTGAGGAATTTAATAACTCTATTGTGTTCACAGAAGGAAGATATTGTGTAAAGCTGCCGTGGAAACCAGGTATGAAAGAGAAATGATCGAATAATAGAGAAGTGTTTCGGAAACATTTCGAAGGTTTGGGTAGGAGATTTAGAAAATTATACAGGTTTTTTTTTTTTAGGATTATAAAAAGGTAATTGATGATTATCATAAGGAAGTTATCATTAAGACCTCGTCGTTTGATACTGAAGTGTCATGTTTTGAACAGTCATTCTACTTACCCCACCATTCGGTCATTCGGGAGGACAAATCTACTAGTTCAGTTCAATTGTTTTTGATGGATCTCCTCATTACGGAGGACAAATTTCGATTAATGACTGCTTATTTAGAGGATTAAATTTATATCCAAATCTATTTAAAATGATTTTAAAGTTTCGGCAAAATACGATCGCCTTCACAGCCATATAAAAGAAGCATATCTACAAATTTTGATCGATCTTAGTAATAGAAAATTTACGAGATTGATGATATCGGTTCTAATTCATATCAAGAAATGAACATTAGTAGAGTTTTATTCGGACTAAAACCAAGTCCATATTTATTAGCTGCAGCTCTGAAATATAAAGTAACAAATAAGATATAAATGTAAAGAGAAAATAGATAAATGTAAAGAGGAATTTCCCGATACTTGCTAATTATTGTCAAAATGGCAATTTAATGGGAGGCGGAGAAGACTTGCAAGTGGCTTAGAAGTTTCCTATTGAAAGCGTGAAAATTCTCAAAAGAGGTAGCATGATATTACCAAAATGGAAAACCAATTCCATGAAATTTCGTGAGCTATGGAAAGATGCTGAGTTCGACGTCGATGAAGAGAGGAGCTCAAGTACGGGACTTGACTCACCATCCAAGGTGATGAGTCTGGTTTGGGACCCAGAGGCGGACAATATATCTTTCAACGTGAAGAACTACTAAAGTTTGCCAAGAACAGAACTTCTTCGGAAAGGTTTATTTTTCGAGTAGTGGATCATATCTATGATCCTATCGGTTTTCTGGAGCCTTTTATTATAAAGTTGAAATGAATTCTTTAAGAACTACGGAGTCATAATATGGACTTGGATGACAAACTTCCATCCCCACTGGTTCAAAAGTGGTAGTTGTGGTGCAGTGAAGTAGAACACTCTCCTGATGCCTAGATGTTATTTTTCAAATTTGAATTGCAAATTTATTTCATTTGAAATTCATTCTTTTTAAGATTCATCTCTTTTGGCCTATGGAACAGTGTTATATTTATTGATCTATCAGAAGATGGGAGGATAAGTATTAGTTTTATTTGTTCTAAAAGTCATGTATCTCCTCTGAAAGATTCGAATTAATGGGAGCTTTATTATCCGCAAGATTAGCCCATCAAGTAGGTATATATCTTAAATTTAATACATTTAGTTATTATTGGACCGATTCTATAATTACGTTATTTTGAATTAAAGGACAATCAGGTAAGTACAGAACTTTCGTAAAAAATAGGATAGAAGAAATATATATCTTTATCAGATACCAATAATTGGACACATTGAGCTTTTAGGAAATTTGTAAGGAAAGATAATCCTGCAGATATCCTGTACAGAGGAATTTCCGTAGTAAATTTATCTACGAACCAGCTTTGGTGGAACGGTCCTCCGTGGCTAAGCCAATCACCTGAATACTGGCCTACTAAGAGGGAAAACTTGAAAACTACAGACGCAGACTTAGAGCTAAAAACGGAAGTTGAAATTAGAATACAAAATAAATGCTTGGTAGAAAATTCTAAATTTATTTTAGATTTCAGGAAATATAGTTGTGGGTTGTTAAAAGTATTAAGAGTAACTGCACTAGTAAAACGGTTTGTTAATAAATTTCAAAAACGGCAAACGGTTACAGGTCCCCTAACAGCAAAAGAACTTAAGTGCAGAAGTAGGCTGGATAAAACATTGAATTTAACTTAGAATTACAGGGAATCAAAAATGGTAAGTCGATTCCTAAAAAATCTCCACTTTCGAATTTAGCCCCATTTCTCGACAGTAGTGGTGTGTTGCGCATAAAAGGAAGATTAGAAGAAGTATTTACAAAAGATGAAGTTCACCCTGTGCTTCTTCCAAAGCAGTCCAAATATACAGAGTTAATTATTATTCGAAAGCATAATAAAAATGTTTCATGGTGGAGTGACATTTAGGCTCGCCAAAATTAGGTCTAGATTTTAGATTTCACGAGGTAGACAAATTGTAAAAAGAGTATTAGGGAACTACATAATTTGTCGAAACTATAATTTGAAACCAACTAAATAAATAACTAACAAACGACCCAAAAATAGAATTACTAAAAACCCTCCTGTTACTGGAATAGATTTTACTAGCCCAGTTTTAATAAAATCAGGAAAGGATATTCCTCAAAATGCTTACATAGCATTATTTACATTCAGCGTGACTAGAGGTGTGCACATTGAATTAATCACACATATGTCAACAAAAAATTTTACTTTGTCATTAAGGAGATTTTTGGCTAGGAGGGAAAATTATAAAGTTATTCCGACAACGCTAAGAGCTTCAGAGCCGCTAATGAAATTCTGAAAGAATTTGCAAAAATTATAATAGTCAAAATTAAAAGGTAACAGCATAACTTAGAATATATTGCGCCTCACGCTCTTTGGCGAGGTGGGTTTTATGAAAGGCTTCATTAAAAGCATCAAAGAACCTTTCATAAAAATTCTTGGAAGGCGTCTCCTTAGCTGTTAGACTCTTCTGTCAGAAACTTAGTTCTAAATCAAAGACCTCTTACTTATGCCCACGATGAAATAAAAGAGCCACAAGCTCTCACACCTGCCCATTTCTTGTTTCCAGAGCAAGACAATGTTTCGTATCCTGCACATTTTGACGACCTTTTCAGAAATAAACCATTTAACAGGCAGACTTTAACTAGGAGAAAAGTTTATCAATCTAACCCTCTGAAAACAAATTTGGAAAAAGTGGAAGTAGAATTATCTCCTCGAATTACAGACTGCGCACACTTTTTTAAATCCATAACCTGGAAAGGAATCTTAAAAAGAGTAAGGTTGTATTGCCTGAAAGGTCGATGAAATCGAAATTATTATGGCCTCTAGGAATTACAGAAGTTTATAAAGGTAGAGATGAGTATGAGCGTTCATGTTTGATTCGTACTGCCCAAGGACCTTATCGAAGGCCAATCTAATTAATCTACTCTTCTGAAAGTTAAACTTTGTGTATAAATATTCCTTTATGTCATATAGTATTAATTTGCAATGTAATTTTCAGTATTGATTTATATACATTGATTTGTATTATGCTGATTTGTATATATTATTTTGCATAGTGTTGATTTGTATTTATTTGAACATTCATTATTGATGCGTAAATTTGGTGTATTTTAACAGAGTACAGGTGGGGTGTGGTGCAACTTTTCATTATAAGAGGGCGCTCTTGCGCCGAAAGAAAATATTCTGTGTTTATTACTGTAATATATCTTGCTGATGTTTCTCATTAAAATCTAAAAGAAATATGTAGTCTTCAATTTTATCTAGAAAATCAAGATCAAATAGCCACCAATGATATATCGTCGATACCCTGGTAGCTTTCGTATTCGAATCATCAAGTGTTGCATTCGCTTTCCGAAATTCGTATTAGAGACATTTGACAAAAAGTACCGCCTTGCACAGTTTTTGAACAGTAAACATTGTCGAAATTAAAACTTTCTAACGGTACACCCGAAAAGCTGGGTGAAAAGCTGGGTCATCTGACTTAAAAGAGTGGCTCGAAACTGTATGCAACCGTTGATCAGGTACTCGTGCACTTAAGAAATCACTGCTAATGATGGACAGTAAATTAACAGAACAAATAATGGTCCTGTCATCATTTCAGGAGGACTTATATTACTTCTGCAAATCACCGCACGTATCAATGAATAAACCGTTCAAAGAATAATTCCGAAAGTTTTATAACGCGTAAGGCGTCAGCAGGGTAAGACAATTTTACTGGAAAAGGAAAAATCCTGAGATCTTGCATTTAATTTATTTGCTAATGGATTTTGTGTGTGTATGAGGTCTTATTGGTGAAGTTATAATAGTGTAAAGCTTCAAGTAAGCGTTATATCTAAAGTTCTTGATGGCTCATTCCACGTGGGAAGAGAGATAGAATGGTGATAATGACAACGGTGACGACTTGCAAATTGTAACAAACGACACAAACAAGCACTTTCAGTAGCACTGAGTAATTTTAGGCCTACGGAGTAGCGAGTAACAACAATAAAAGCAAGTGTAAAACATGTTTCTAAACATTATGATATTATTACTAAGATGCATTCTCATTTGAATGTATGTTTCTTTTTAATAATTAGTATTATATTAAATACTGGTAGTTTATCCATGAATACTTTTGATTTGTTATGTTCTTACTGCAACTGCCTCCTTTGGGAATTAAATTATTCGCACAATTTGTCCCTCTCAATTTTCATACGACTTAGTTAGCAAAACGAAGAGGTAAATATGAGAGTAAATACGGTCTACATTGCCGGTTAACTAAAACATAGAGATAAAGTTACTGTTCTGTATTTTGTCAAAGAAAACATTCAATTAAAGATAAACGATGCAATTAAAGATAAACATAAAAGCTAAGATTATGTACCAAATGTTCGTCTTCAAATTTACTCCTATTATACTCAGTATGGACGTCAAGGAGCCGATCTAACACGGTTTGATTATTGTAAGCAAGTTCAAGCATTTCTTGTTGTCGTTTCCATGTATTCAGACTGAAAAAAAATTCAGACTGTTAAAAGGACTTCAAAAGTTACATTATTTAGTGAAGAATAATTACAAAAAAAAAAAAAAAAAAAAAAAAAAAAAAGAATGAAGTAGGAGATATTACATTTTTAACTAAACCAGTCATTATATAATACAATTGTTTTCAATAGTGTTAAAAATCTGCTATATAATGTGTTCATAAAGTCAAGAAACTCAAACTTCAAAATAAATCATTTATGTATAATGTGGAAGTCAGTAATTATACTACTGTTACACAGTATACTTTACATGATATTTTATAAAATGTATCCCATTGTTAAATAGTATTCTCAGACATTCAAAAAAAGTAAGAAGATGCAGATATGTACAATTCCTTCGAAATGATAAGTAACTTCTTTTAGTAAAACATGTACTATAAAATCATTGCCTCTAAAAATTACATAAACTGAAATACTTTCAAAGAAATCTCAGTATTAAAGCTAATGAATTAGATAAAGAGATTAACTTAACAGGTTGGTGTTCAAAATTTAAACCAAAAATATTTTTAAATTATCATATTAGGCGAAAAAAGTAATGTGTAATCACAGAATTTGCATACATGAGAAACATATGCACGTTGAAATGAGCCCTCAGTAAGGAAAAAAAGTTAAAGATTTTTTTTTAAACAAAGAAATATAGTAGATGTAAAAACGGCATTGTAGTAACTTTGCAATACGGATCCAGAAGAAAAATCGAAAATACAGCTAAATTTTGTGAAATGGATAAATGTCATCATCTGAGTGGCGGCAGGTGATAGTAGGAAAAATAGGGCATATCGAAGTAGTGACAGTTAGAAGTATAGTAAAGCCTAAATGTCAATCATTCTATCATTTATTGGACTAAAAATGAAGGAACAATATCATGAAAACCAGTAAATTAATGCCCAAGGGTCACAATTGGTCAATAGAACCATTTTAAATGTAAGGAAGCACGATGCCATAGCCAGTTACTACACGTCAGCTTGCTTTCTGTCTTGCAGCCTCGACAGTTTTCTCAACAGCCTGTTCACAAACGACTAAGATGAGCATTGTTTGTGTCCCACTGACATCTTCTTCCAAAGAGATCCGCTTTTTCTGCGTTCAAGATCACTTTATCTTGAACTCGAAAATAATAGTTTATTGTGCTGTTTAAGGATGCGTCATGATTTAGTCTATAGGCTGATTCTTGGGGCTGTTTGCCTGAAAAATGTCTGAAACTCGTTACCGCCAAGTAACATCTACAAACACACACTTACAGAAGCAGTTATTTAATAGTTTGAGCAATGATTACTGTTGGTGGTCGCATTGATCAGTTATCTTCCCTCACGGTACTATGACAGCAGCGCGGTATAGAGTTCATATCCTTACTCAATACATTCGTCCATTTCTTGCGATCATGTGTGATGATTCTACTTCTGTGAAAAATGAGTGAGTTCATAGGATTCGCGTTGTCAACCAATGATTAGAAACACTGCTTTGTATGGAATGGCCATCGAAAACACCCAGTTTAAATCACATCGACAATGTGAAGAACATGCTTCTAGTGTATTTAATTTCTTTCCGTGAACCTCTCCAGTACTTTCAAGAAACTAAGAATATGTCTGCTTCATGAATGGGCGCAGATAATCCAAACAATCACATGATAGCTTTTTTCTTGACACGAATCAGTGTCACAGGTATGTATTTCCAGCATCATATATCTTATTAACAGACCTCCACCACGAAGCTTTCCTGTCACCAAAAATCCTAAACTTTGCCGTTATTCTTCAACGATTTATCGAGCATTTTCTTTATATTTCTCCATTTTAGTATCTATATTATAACAGTGATCATTGAACGTTTCAATGAAATACATTAAATACTTTTCTTTTTGTCCACCCTTTTCACTTTTCTGCAAAACTTTTGGACATGAATGTGTACTTTTTCTGGTTATTTCTGTGATTAATATACCTATTAAATCCACAAGATATTTTGTTATTTGAAAACTTCGAGTTTTCATTAACGTCAAGTATGATGTACGAAATCTGCTCAAATTATATAACCCCAACGTATACAAACAGATATGAAACATATTATTTCTGATGATATTCAACAAATGTATCATTAAACATTAATTACATGTAATACAAAAGTAAGTACAAAATTAAATAAAAAATTTAAGATTATAAACATTCAATCCCTATTTATGCATGGCACTGATTCAATGCCCTAATTAGCCAAACTGGTCTCTCATATATTCAGCGATAAAAAATACGTCTTTATATGAACGATTTGCAATTGAAGTTCAAGTAATTTTCAAGAAATAGTCACAGCTGCGACTGAAATGTTAAAACAATTCTCTGGGGGGAATGTTGCTCTAACTAAAAGCGATGGATCACAGTCACTAAATTAGATTAATTTATTCGTGATCGCTTCATCCTTCCAGTTCCTCATTAAATATGTCAGGGAAATGTGAAGAATTGTAGATACTAATAAAATGAAATCTAGAAACTGGTTCCGTTATGTTTTAGGCATTAATATAGATCTCCTGGTGTAGCGGTTAACATATACTGATAAAAATTAAGGCTTCCAAAATTACTTCATTAATTTTGGAATTTCTTTAGAATGAGTTCTGCTTATACTTCCTAATATTTCCAAATAGTTATGTTTGATTTCTTTGTATATTGCGCGTTTAATTTTCTGTGAGTAAAAACACCGAGAACAGCGAAATATAAAGTAACATTTCCTACAGTCGTATTAAAGCAACGGCAATATAAATAACAATAAGTTTTTATTATTACTATACTGTTACGAATTTGGTATTTAAAAAGCTAATATTAGTTCAATTATAAATTAATTGGTTTTATTTCTCGCGCAGTGCAGCGCGTGACGAATATTAAAAGAAAGCTAAGCCGGAAAATTGAAAATACAAGAGCGCGTGCATTAAATAAATAAATATCTCTTTTTGATTTCGAGAAAGTACTGGAAAATTCTAGCGCGTGATTTTAAAATCTTATAAAAGGAGGAAAACATCTCAGTTTGTAGTAGTTGCTTAGTTTGTTGTTGTTTAAAAAAAACTACTGTTGTTGATTGTAGCGAATTCGCGGATTAGCGTTCTTTAGCTGTTTTGAATTACGTTCTATTGGACATTTGAGTAGTTAAAAGAAAACTACTGTGAGATATTGTAATACTGCATGATAATTTGAGAAAATTTAAGCATTTTTGTTGTGATAATAATAAATTTTTGTTCATTTTTTTTCATCGGACTTGTGCATTCATTTCATAACGAACCCGTACGCACGCAACAATTTTTGGTGTCAGAAGTGGGATTTGAATGCCAATAACAAGAGCGATGGAAGAACAATTCAGGCAAATGATGACTGCATTTGCTGCTTTCCAAGAAAAGATGGAAGGGGCCGTCAAATCCGTTAAGGAGAAATGAAAATTGGGCCAGGAATCCGTTAAGGAAGAAATGAAATTGGGCCAGGAATCCGTTAAGGACGAAATGAAAGCCGTTCAAGCTGGTCAAGAAATGATTGAAGCATGTCAAGAAAAAATGAAAAGAGAAATTACCTGCATAATAGAAAATAAATTTGAAGCTATGGAAGGCAAAATTGACACAGTTGAAAATAAAGTTGGACAAATTGAAGAAAAGTTTCTTTTCGTAAAAGATCAAATTGAAGAAAGAGTTTCTTCGGTGAAAGAAGAAATAGAAAAAAAAGTTTCTTCTGTAAAAGAACATATAGAAGGGAGAGTTTCGGCTGTGGAGGAACGAAATCTGAAGGAAGAGTTTGTGCCGTCCAACACCAAAGTCGAACAACAAATTGATGAGAGAGTTTTCTTCTGCAGTTGCCAAAGAAATGGAAACGTTAAAGAAATTCGTAGCGACGGCAGGGAGCAATTCGGAATGATGATTTTAAAATTCTTACCGATGCCTGCTCGTCCATTTCTGAAGCTATCCACATATGATGGGAAGACATCCTGGCAAGTGTACAAGACCCAGTTTTCTATCGTTGCGGATGCGAATGGATGGGATTCCCAAGCTAAGGCCTGTCATCTCGCCGCTTCTTTAAGAGCCGACGCAGCGGATATCCTTCAGACTCTTCCCGAAAACAAAAGGTTAGATTTCGAAGCTCTGTCCGGCGCTTTGGAGCTGCGCTTTGGGGAGAAGTGTTTAAAAGACTACAGCAGGCTCCAATTAAAATCTCGTCAACAGAAGCCTACCTAAACACTTCAGGAGCTCGCCACGGATGTTGAAAGGCTGTCCCATCTCGCCTTTTCGGAATGCCCGACAGAAACAAGGGAAATCCTGTCCCTTGCAATACTTCATCGACGGCATCCGAGATACTGAAATACAGAAAGCTCTACGAATGGCGGATGTAAAGATTTAAAAAGCGCTCTAGTGTACGCCATGAAATTTGAGGCAGCCCAGCAAGCCACTCGTCGAGAGACCGCCACCCAGTCAGAGCTGCTCAGTCCAGGAGCCAGGGGATCAAGTCACCGCTCGACTGGACGATTTAACTAGACAACTGAACGCCTTGAGACGGAATATTGGTGAGAAGAAACCGACAGTTAAGTGCTGGAGCTGCGGTGCTGAAGGACACATACGAAGAAACTGCAAAACACCCCAGGGTACTGATGTTAAGACCGCTTCTAACAAGCAGCAGGGAAACTAATTAGTGGCCATCTCGCGGGGCGGAGGTTGCCAGATAATGAAAAGCCCCCGTTTAAAGCGCTTCAGATTTCTGCAATGAGAGGCGGCAGTAATGGACTTTTCATAATAGGACATATTAATGGAGTTCCGTGCAATATGACGATAGACACAGGAGCCAACGTTACCATCATCCGAAAAGATTTGGCTCAACAACTGGAAAGCAAACTTATCTGGACGCCGCCCTGCGTTACCCTACAGACTGTGTCCGGTGAGAAGATCGACATCAATGGGAAAGTAAATGTTAACATCACGTTTGAAAGTGCCGCTTACCATCACACGGCATATGTAGCAGAGA